GCCGCGAATTTTCTAGCACGCATCAAGTGGTATCTTACTCTCTAAATTTTTTGTATTTGATTATTATAGTGTGAATTTTTATGATTTCGCATAACAATTAGAATCAGAGTTTGATTTTTGGACGGCAACTTCTGAATCTTGTGTCTTGGCATCTATTGCAACCATCAAACGCGTGTTGCCGGCATTTTCTATAGAGCGTGGTCCGAAGTGCTATGCCGGAAAGGAGGCAGTTCATACAGCTGTTGAAAGGCGGCAGTTTGGCGGGATTAGGCTTCCCATGGGTGGCGCTCTCCTGAACGGGAAGAAGATTTTAATGGAGGGGATATTCACTTTTCAGGCGGCGAGAATTTCAGAAAATTCCTAACTGGCGGACAAGATATTCACAAGATTTATGGGAGAGTTTTATTTATTTATTTATTTTGGAATATTCTTTAAAAAAAGTAACTTTAAAAAGAGGAATTTAAGAAAATTGAAAGAAAAAGTATATTTCTCTTGGGAAGAAAGAATTTAGAGGTAAAAAAGGAAAAAAAACAGGGAAAGAAAAAAAAGGAACTTTAGAGAGGAAAAAGAGAGAATTTTTTATTTTCTGAAATTTATTTCTTATTGGGACGATCTTTTTTTTTTTTGTAGTTTTTTTTCTTTTTTTCAGATATTCTGTTAGAAGAATTTTTTGGGAAAAATTTTAACGGTGGCAGAAATAATTAATAGTACGATGTCAGGTTCTTCAACATCCATTATCACAGTGGAAAAATCAATTCATCACGAGGTTATGCATCCCATCAAAGTTGATATGACGAAATTTAACGATAAAAGAAATTTTGGCATGAGGTGATACAAGGTAATGAATGAGTCGTGTTTTCTAAATTTGGAGGAAATCATGAATAGCGGGGAATGTCCTAAAGAGATGCTAGAGAGAGATTAGTTAAAAATGAACAAAAGTGTTTGTAGTTTGATCCAAAGTTGCGTGACCAAGAAATTAAATGTAGGGTAATGATGGAGACTTATGCATGGAAATTATGAAAGATGCTGGAGAATAAATATCTCACAAAAAGCGTGAAAACTTGTCTCCATATGAAGTGTTGATTCGATAGATTTCAGATAAGATGGGGGTTACAGATGATGAACACTTGAATGACTTCATAAAATTGCTAGCTAATTTGTTCAATTTGGATAAGAACGTTGAGATGAAGATAAGGTGCTTCTTATGTTGAATTTACTCTCAGATGAGTATGAAAACATCACCATGACACTCATTCATGGGAGGAGGTCTTTAATTATGATGAAGTGACCACGACACTATTTAATCACGAGTTTTATCGAAGGGACAATGTGTTTGCAAAGATGAAATCAATTGAGAGACTTACCCTATAACATGATAGATCTGAGAAGAAGATGAAGAATTTGTCAAAGAAAGGTG